ATGTGGACAATAGTCCGAATAATGTAAATAATGTATATGGGAGATGTTTTAACAACTTGAACTCTGTTGGAAAAAATTAATAAAATAAACCTTATTAGAATTTAAACATCTACGATTTGGGAACTTCCTACACTAAAATATACACGTATCGGTAATACTTTTGGGAAAGGCATAAACTTAGTTCTCCCCGTCTTTTATTCATTGAAATCGGTATATATCATGGCATACTCTGATGGCTGGTAGAGAAAAGATAGAGGGTTCAATCCTTAGGAAAAACTCATTCTTGAAAGACTTAATTTTTAAAAGACCTGTGAATTTTGATTCTGGATTTAAGTAGTCATGGCATAGTGGTTCGCCCAAGTAATTCCTTGTTCAGTATCTTTTTTGTCAATCATTGTGACATGTCAGTGACATGTTAGTTTTGTTCTAAAAAATTAGTAAGTTAACAAAGTGCAGGGAAAATTATATAATTGAATTCAGCCAATCAAAATATTTACAGCCCAAATTTAGTTTTAACTTACAGATTCCATTTTCCGTGTCGATATTCTTCTTACATATATAAATATATTAGCACAGATAGATAGATAGATAGATAGATAGATTCCTATGTCCATTATATCCATGTATTGCGCTTGAAGCGATCTTCAAACTATGTAGTTGAAACTGACGATCTTTAGACCACGAGGCGTGAAACTGACAGTCACCATGCAATGTTGATTCCAATATCCATATTGTCAATATCTACAAACACTCTATCCCCAACATTGATCACTTTTACCCCGATAAATATACTAACTTTTAAACATTATTTACCTATGTATCGGCATTTATGCCGATACATAGGTAAATAATGTTTAAAATGATTAAAAGTTAATCAGTGTAATATTTCTGTGCTTTGACTAAAATAAAAGTGTCTCCCAAATCCTAGAATCAGGTTACACACACACGCATACATACACACGTGTGTGTATGTATGTGTGTGCGTGTGTGGTCCTGACCTGGCATCTCGGTTTAAGTTCATTTCCCACCGCCGTAACGTAGTTTCCCTGCGTCTTTCCTATACATATTTTTGTGGTACCTGTTCTAATGAAATTTCCTCATTGGTGTCAAAAGTTTATGAATTTCGGCGTATTACTAGATTAGTGACAAGGTCTCACTATTTTATAGTTTAAAATGGCCAGATATAATCGAAAAATCTATTATAGCTATTCCTTCGTTCGCACGTCTCGCATGTGGAACTCTTTTCCGGCTTCTTGCTGTCCAGTCAACATTGATCTTCAAAAATTAAATGCAATGTCATTCGTGATCTGCCTTCTCAATTCCTTTAATACTGTTTTGTTTTTCGGATATCATCTCACACTTAGTAACGCCCTTGCGTCTTAGTAGACTTATTGCATTACTTGGGGATGAAATGATATATATATATATATATATATATATATATATATATATAAAAATGAGAACGAATCGAATATAAATCCAAGCGCTCATAACATTAATCTTAAACAGGGATCAATACAATCTAATAGTAGAGCAATATTCATTATTATAGGATATTACATACAAACATATATATATATATATATATATATATATATATATATATATATATATATATTTATTATGGGATATTACATTCAAACATGTAAAATAACTCTACATAAATGCAATCATTGTGTCTCAACACATTTTATCAGGCATTAACGCCTGATGAGATATGTTGATACACATCGAAACATGATTGCATTTATGTAGCGTTATTTACGTCGTCGTGAATTATTTTCTCCTGTGATCAGAGTAGCATTTTTATGCCAAAATTGTGGTCAGTCTCGTTACCGTGGGCAACCAACGCATTTGATGTATTATTTTGTAAAATGTCGCTTTTGTGTAGATATAATCTTTTATTTAGATTCCTTGTGGTTTCTCCTATGTATTTTTGTGGCAGTTTTTACAGGCGATGGAGTAAACTACTCCTTCAGGTTTTTGCATATTGTTTTGTTTAGTATTGACTAAATCTTTTATTGTTTTGGTGTAGTAGTAATAAATGTTATGTTGAGTTTAGTTAGATGCTTTTCGATTGAAGATGTGATAGAGTTAGTACGCAGGATAAGATATTTTTTTGATTCGTTGATTTTCTCAGGAGGGGCCTTTTTTGTTTTGTCTTGTTTTGGGGGGGTTGGGTTGTTTTTATTTTTTAGTTTTGGAATATTTAATGGGCCTTTAGTTTCGCATTTAATATTATGGCACTGAAGAAGTTTGAAAGTGTTTTCAAGGTATTTCTCCTCTTTGTGTAAATAACCCGGGCTGCATATTCTTAGTGCTCTTAGTTAGAATCCGATGATTATGCCTGATTTTATTTTATTGTTATGATGAGAATAGAAATTTATTAGGTTGTTTTTGCTGGTTGATTTCCGGCGACAATGAGTTTTAAACTGTCCTTAATGCGATGTAACTTGATATCTAGGAAGGCTAAGGAATTGGGTTCTTCAATTTCGTATGTAAATTCTATTAAAAGTGATGGAAAGAAAAAAAGACTTGAATTGGGCTAGATAAAAAAAAATATCTAAAACGTTCTAAAATTCCCAGCGCCTCCACTGTCGTGCGCATGTGTAGTCCTACCAATATAACAATTTTAGGCGGATGAAGTCCTGAAGGACGAAACGCGTCACAAGTAAACTTTTTCCACTTTGTCATACAATTTCCCCAATACTATTCTTGATATATTATATATATATATATATATATATATATATATATATATATATATATATATATATATATATATATATATATATAAGCACATTTTCATTCAAACAGGTTTGGTTAAATAATTTAGACTTATCATGCCGATTAGTTTTCTTTTGGGATACTTTCAAGTTCACGGATTATGCCTTAGAAAATTGATTAAGGAAAATACCAAAATTTTCTTTAAAATAGTTTTTATTTTTTCCAAGTACTTTCAGTTTCATCTAAGACAATCTTCATGGTGTTAAGCTGCCTGTGAATATGTGTTTTTGTAAATTCAAAACACTACAACTGTTCGTTTTTACTGCTTATTCAGCGTTTGGTATTTTAGTATTTTTCTTAATCAATTTTCTAAGGCTACCAAGAAATTAATCCATGAACTTGAAAGAATCACAACGAAAACTATTCGACATAATATGTGTAAATTATTTAAGCAAACCTTTTATATATATATATATATATATATATATATATATATACCAAAGTATATAATTGGTATATACGGAATGAATTCCAATAACCAACAATTACTATTCTTAAAAGAGTGCTCAATACAAAGTAGAGCAGATATAATTATTTTTATAAAAATATATAACATAAGTATGTTATAAGATCACTACAAAAAATAGAAGACACAGAAATGTTTCAAACAAAATGGCTATTTTTCAAGTGATCTTATAACATACTTATGTTATAATTTTTATAAAAATAATTATATATATATATATATATATTAGGATATCACACCGAAAAACATGTAAAAATCGCTACACAATTACAGTAGTGTTTCAATGCATATCAACGTATCTCATCAGTAAACTAATAAATTATTGGCAAGTGAACGATTTATTTAGGTTTAAAAGCAAAATACAACCTCTTTTTACGAAAAAAAGAAAAAAGGGGGAGTGATAAGGTTTGTGAGCTTTACTCTAATCAACCAATCATATATGACCTACGTTAAATTTAATCTAAGCGAAGAAGTAAAAATTAAAAATTATTTTTTATAAATGGATCATGACTCGTAGATTGGTAGATAACGGCAGCCAGACATAAACCAAAGTGGATACATATGGTTACATAAATTATACAAACCAGACAATGCAGTTCCATAAGAAATAAAAGTGGGGTGGAGAGGTAATTTAACAAAATGCCAAACAAGTTATATGCTTTGTCAATTTCCTACATAATTTTTTGTAGTTGATAAATAAATAGCTTCTTTAAGAAACTATTAAATATTTTAAACATATTATTATTTGGTAAATTAATATGCAACTGTTAAATAAAGATCCTTCATATAAGATGTTAACAACATTAACCAATTAATGTAAAATGTCAAAAATAGCAACTAAATACAAGATATATACAAGGAAATACTACCAGGAAATTAAAACAAAAATTATATTAAATCCAGATTAATTTTACAAAAAGAAAGATAAACCATATATAGTGTAAGGCAGTACAACTAAAATAAAAGAGAAAGCATGTTCAAATTCCAAAGTTTAACTAAATTGTAAGATGAAATTACAATTTACTGTTAATTTGATTTAACACTGAATTTTTGTCAAACATATGATAATTTCGAGTTTGTCATATAAACACTGAAAACAGGGTTCATATAAAGATTTACATGTCCTAGCCATTTTTATATTTTTTCATTTCACCTTAGCTGTCAGTATTATCTTTTATACTCCAAAATATTTAGAAAGTGATGTATTATTTCTGTAAGTAGTATTATTGTTAAAGGACAGGATATGTTGATACCACCTAGTCTTAAAGGAATTCATAGTACTAACAATATAGAATTTTTCAACCGTTGGATTTGCTATTGTGGAGATAGTACTAAGACAGACCAGATGTTTAGTTAAATATTTGTTTTGTAATAGACATTGTCAGAATTCCTACAATTTCATTGGCCTAGTATCATTAATAATAATTTCCTTGTAACGTGTATTATGATCCAGATCATTAAATTGGTTGAAAATTTTATTACTGTGTAACTTTATAATCTTCTCAATATTGGTGCAGCTATAACTTAGATCTAATGTGTTTCTGTTAAATATTTTACTAAGAGGGTTACTTTTAGGAAAATGTTTATCAATCAAATGGAGTAACATATGGCCTAACTTAGTAGTGACTGATTGATTAAATGGAGGTGTATGGGAGTGTACCAATTCAAATTATGAAATCATTATGAAAGGCAACATACCTGGAGGCACTTTTTGTAACTTCCCTTTTAAACCTATGTTTATTTAAAGTATTTTTTTTCTTTTCTTTCTTTCGTGGATATTTTTCTCTCTCCTGTTTTTCTGCTCGTAAACGTAACTAATTATAAAAAGGAGTAGATAGGTTCACGTATCGCCCGGTTTACACTCCTCCTCAGTCTTTTGAATAACAGTAGTTTCCTTGTTTCCTGATTAGGGTGAGGTTTCCGATTCCTTCTAAATTCTATTTCAACACTATACTTCTAACAACTCCAACTAAACTCTGAAATATTTACTAGTATTGGGTTTCTTGTTGCTTCTAAAGTCTTTTCCTTCTCTTTCACTTACATTAGCCCCCTTGTGTCTTAGTGACTTTATCGCCTTGGTTGGGAGAATTTATTAAAAAACAATTCTATATAATCACCCAGGTGACATACTTAATATCGCCCGGACTTAGGAATGTAACGCTAAAATAAATATAATTCCTAACCCAGTACACAGATTTTAAAACGTTTCCGCATTAGAAAAGTTTCTGTGAGTGAGTGTTAGTGTGTGTGTGTGTGTGTATGTGTGTGTGTATGTGTTATCGATGTCATTTCATTTTATCGATTTATTTCGAAATTTTATTTTTATCGATTTATTTCGAAATGATAGAAAAATTGAAAAGGAAGAATGAAGTATATAAAATCGATAAATAAGCATAGAAAGAAAGAAATCAAGAAAGAAAGAATTTAGAGAAACAAGAAAATTCAACAGTGATGACTACCAACAGAGAGAGAGAGAGAAAGAGAGAGAGAGAGAATTGTTACAATAGACAGAGGGGATAATTTGGAAAAAGAGAGAAAATAAGAAAGAAGGATCGTGTTAGAGAAAGAGGTGGGGGTCAAAGACTTCAAAGACGTTGAAAAGGGGTGTGGGTTTGAGTATGTATCAATTGAATCGTCCCGCCTCCATTCTGCCGCATCACTTCAAATGCTTCTTGATGATTGGTCGAAATATGTGTCGAGGGAGGAGTCTTCTACACTCTCACGCATACTTACATCTATCCACAGACATAACATACACTCACAAACACACACACACACACACACACGCACACACACGCACACAGAGACGCGCGTGCGCATATCTGCGTAGGATTGTGTGTGTTCTCCAAGCACAGTCACTTCCAAATGAGACGGATATTCAGGCGCCCACTCCTGCAATATTAATTTCTCATCAGGCGAGATAATTTGATTTCTCACGCAAATTCGTGTGTGTGTGTGTGTGTGTGTGTGTGTGTCCACGAGCGTGTAAAATCGTGGACACATACACACACACACACACACTTCATGTATACAATCGCTTTATCTCTCTCTTCCTCATACACATAAGGACAGATATATTCACACAGCTATATCGCTGGTATTATTTCTCTATATATCTTTTTCACTCTCAATCTCTCTTTAGTCTTTACTGTCTCTATTTTTCACATTCTCTGTTCCATATATATTCATCTCTCTTTCTCTCTCTCGTTCTATCTATCTGTCCGTCTGTCCACACACACACACACACATATATATATATATATATATATATATATATGTGTGTAGTGACTGAGTAAGAGAAATAGAGAAAAGTGTAAGAGAGTTGGAAAGAGAACGTCAAAGATAGATATATCTTTGCAGTTCTCTTCTCTTCTTTCTCTCTCTCTCTCTCTCTCTCTCTCTCTCTCTCTCTCTCTGCTTCTCTTACTCAATCATTCTCTGATTGCCTTACTCTATCTCTTTCTGTTTCTCTACTTGTATGTCTCTTTTTCCTCGGTTTTTCTGTCTGTCTGTGTATCTCTCTGTCTGTCTGTCTGTCTGTCTGTCTCTCTCTCTCTCTCTCTCTCTCTTGCACTTCGCTTCTCTCTCTCTGTATTCCTCTGTAA